TTTTTTTTTTTTTGCATCATTTTGACCAAACGATCATTATAGCTAAAAGTTGTATTACAAGAAACAAAATGCATTCAAAGTTAAAAAAAAGAGGCATGTTCCCATGCTGTTTTTCATAAAATTGCTATTTAAATGCACCAGAATAACTGTTTATATACAGTAAATGTCGGTATTTATCTACAAATAAAACATTTTAATGCAGTACATGCTAAATGCCAAAAACAAAGACTCAGAAAATAGACAGAAAATAAGAGTTTTGATTCTGCGCTTTCGCTGTCCTTAAGTTTAATGATGCTTAGTATTCAAATAAAAATGCATTAAAATCATTATGATTAGCAAAATCATCATGAATATATAAAAATGTTTAATTCAAGACGCAAAAAGCAGTAAAAGTTTTTTTTAATATTTGTCTTTTTTTTAATAATGTCTCCATATGTTGTTTTCACAAAATTGTCATTTATATGCGCCAGTGTAATGATGATGTCTTGTATTCAGTATTTATCTACGAATATTTTGACTAAACATTTTAATATATGACCAATGCAACAGAAAGACTCTTACGTGAAAAACAGTGAATAAGAGTTTTGATTCGTTGATATTATAGTCTTATAATCTTATAATTCTCTTGAGAAAAAGATCACTAAATCTAGTGATTTATATATAAAATAATTTAAAGCAAAATTTTTAAGTAATTAAGTAACAAGTCGTGTTTCCATGCTGTTTTTCACTAAAATTGTTACTTATATGCACTAAAATAACTACTTATATACTAATGTCAGTACTTATTTACAAATATTTTGGCAAAAAAAAAATCTTAATATGTGACAAATGCTGCAAATGTGCTATTAAAACATATCTGTCCTAATGCTCTCAAGGATAAAATATCGCTAAATTAATCTGATGCTTAAGAGCCAAATGAAAAGTACAAAATCACCATGAATATACATCTGTTTTTTTTTTTTTTTAGGCATTTGTGATTTTTTTTCTTTCTCTCTTTCCTAATCCGCAAAATCCTACAATAATCGATTATGAAAATAATCAACAATGAATTTGATTATCGATTAATAATCCTGTGTGACAGTGTTCCTGTGGCTCAGTGGTAGAGCATTGCGTTAGCAGTGCAAAAAGGTCATGGGTTCAATTCCCAGGGAACACACATACTGGTAAAAAATGTATAGCCTGAATGCACTGAAAGTCGCTTTGGATAAAAGCGTCTGCTAAATGCATAAATTATTAATCACTTCTGGATACTATACACTAACGTTTGTCAGTCACTTAACGGAGCACAAGTGCACAAGTAAAATTACTATAAAAAAACATAAGAAAACATTGTTTAAATTAAAATTGAAAAAAATCAAGAATTTTCATTCTTTTTTTTTTATCCCATTGATTGGTAACTCAATGAAATAATCAAAAGATAAATCTGTTGCCCCACTTTTAGTTAAAATTCATGTCTTGTTCAAGCATAATGTGGCAAGCAGTGGCAGCTCCAGGATTTTTTTGTTGGGGGTGCTAAGGGGGGGCTTAACAGTTCAGAGGGGGTGCTAAAAAAACGTTAAATTGAGTGAAAGTAATGAATGCCTATAAGCTTCAGCTATCTAAACGGCATGCAAATTCAGCCACCTTGTGTTTTATACAGCCACCTTTTTATATACAGCAGCTTCGAAAAAGACATTTTACTTTTTTTTTCTGTGGTATTAAACTTCTTATATGCCACTGTTATTGGTAATATAACTTTGAATGCCATCTGCCAAATATGACACTTACAAATTAATACAATTTATGAACGCACATACAAAAGAGAGAAAGTAGGGATTTTTTCTTTTTTCATTGTTTTATTTTATTTTTATTTATTTTTTTACATATCTGTTTAGTAATTTTTTCTGACCATCAAGTGTTAGTCACTCTCAATGCCAACTGGTGGGAAAACATGGTAAATTCTAACCATTTTTTACAATAGATAAAGTGCTGACAATTCATACAACTATTTCCACACAGTGGCATAGTAGACAGGCACGCACTGTGGGGGGGCCCCGCGATAACCTCCCCGTGCTGAGTTGCATGGTATCATGTGTCGATGATATCCGGAGATATTGTCAAAAGCATGAAAAATTGACAATAATAAGGGGATTTAGCATTTCCAATTAATGTAGGCCTGTTACATTCTTATTATTATTATTAGGCCTATTTAGGGCTGTGCAAAAAAATCGAATGTGCATCTCGTCAGTAAAGCCGCTTCTGGTGATTAGTAGTTAATCTCCAGCATGTGCTTTCAGATGGAGCGGCATTTACTACACAGAACCGTAGTTCACTGGCAAGCTACACAAAATCGCGTTCAAAATCTGCAATTTGTGGCTAGCCCCGCCCTAGCGCCGCCACTGGTGGCAAGTCACATCTCATCCATTTTAATAGGAGATTTGTCCTAACAAGTGGGAACTGTGACAAATGATGCATGACAAGTGGATTTACGATTTAATAATACAAATTTATTATCAAAAATGGTAGTAATTAAATAAAGGCATAAAACATTAACAATATAATTATCTTAAAATGTAATCAAATGAAAATGTAACAATTCCTGCTGCACAACAAAGCTTTACTGTTAAAATTAAAACATCAAAGATAAATGATTAAAAGATAAGGTTTTAATGATTTTATGATTATAATTATTATTATTATTACTTAAAAATATATATTCTACTGGAAATTAGCAACATATTTTTGTCACAGTTTCTTCAGGTTGAACCTAAAGTACTTTTATTTTGACAGGTTGACCAAAATTGCCAAATTATGTGATATAATACTATCAATTCCATTTTTATCACTTGATTCTTTGTTTTCATGTGTTTTCTGCACTGCAGAAACCGTAGGACCCTAATTAACACTTAAATGCATCATAATTGGTCATGAGACGTAAAAACCAATAATGTTTGATGCCATGTATTGGTGCCATTTTTGCATGAATGCAGTGGCGGCTCCAGGATTTTTTTT